GGATAGCACAAGTCTAGCTTTACAGAGAAGCAAACCGATGTGGCAACACTCGCACATTGCTCTTTCGTCCAAGGAAAGTGTACCGCGATAAGCTGGGAAAGAGAAACATGAAGCAGTTTTGCAGCGTAATGCAACCCATCTGATGCACAGCAAGGGCGTTGATAACTAATACGCTAATAATTGATATTGTAGGTATTATTAATAAATCATTTATTAGATTACCTAGCCTATTTTAGTTTGATGATGACGCAGGCGGTTGAAGTGCCTGTGTGCGCAATACTATTCAGCACAGATTTCAGCTAAACACACAGACTCTGAATAGCCAGGAGAAGCTACGGTAGGCAGGAGCAGGTGAAGCTACGGTCAGTTCTATGCAAAATTTTCTATGAATACGGTGTTTATTTCGTATAATGAGAATCGACAACCGGTTTAATAATCATGTGATTGTTATCAAATGCACTGAATCAGCGTGGGCAATAACCTAACGCATGCCTCCAATCACCTATTCTCTCCCTTCAAGTCCGGCCAACGTCTCTCTAGTCTCGTTAGACCCCGAAATTCGGATATTTATTGAGTTTATTATATATGAATGATCACGCTTCATGTTTGTCATCTTGCTCAGGCTCATAGTATTATATTTAATCTGTTGGCTATTAAATAACTTAAGCGCAAGCCAGCACACAGTGATCACTGAACGTTGACAACGACCGCGAGTCTGTTTCCAGCGTGCATGTTACCGCCGTGCTTACTCGACATGGCACGCATGTCCCGGACTGCTTCCCTCCCGGACCCATCTGTGTCTTGAACGCGTCCTCAGCACAAGCCTTAATGCGTGGTGTGTGTGTGTGCGTGCGTGCGTGCTTTGCGTGCGCTAACGTGCGTTGCGTGGGGTGTGGTAGTGTGTGTGCGTGCTGTGCGGTGGCGTGCTTTGTGTTGTGCTGTATGTGTGTGTGAATGTGCGTGATGATGTGTGTGTGTGTGTGTGCTGTGTGTGTGATGTGGTGTGGTGTATGTGAGTGCGTGTGCGTGTGTGGGTGCGTGCGTAGTGGCGTATCTGTCGTGACCGAGTGCGCGTTCTCCGTCTTCCGAAAACCGGAAAAACACACAAAAGGTGATCTTCGCGCGCAATATATGTAACCAATCCGAGGGGACGTAAAAAAGTGTGAGATAATTTCCTTTTCATACAAGGAGACCAACCGTCCCACACCCACCCTGACAGTTGCGTTTGTGTGACGGCAGACCGTGCGCGCAGTACGTAAGCAGGGCTGCCTACCGATGCCGCGGCTTAGTAGAGAGACCAGAGAGAGAGAGAAGGAGAGAGAGACGAGAGAAGGAGATGAGAGAAGAGTTCGAACGCAGCGAGAGCGAGAGAGAGAGAACGAGAGGAGAGAGCAGCAGGCGAGCAGCAGCAGCAGTAACAGCAGCAGCAAATCAGCAGGTAGCAGCATAGCAGTAGGCAGGTATAGCTGCAAGCAGCAGCATTGAGTATAGGCACTGGTAATGAGCAGCAGTGAGCAGGCAGTAGGCCAGCAGCCAGGGAGCGAGATAAGCGCAGCAGCAGGTAAGGCATTTAGGTATAAGTTACTGTGTAATTTTGTAACGATTATTATTAATGTGATTGTTGTACACGTATTTGTAATAGAGTGTTGTTGTGTTGTTGTTGTTGTTGTTGTTGTTGTATTAGTAGTAGTAGTAGTATAGTAGTAAGTACGTAGTGAGTAAGTAGATAGTATGTAGCAGGTAGTAGTAGTAGTAGCATCAGCCTCATCAGCAGCAGAAAAAACGCTCGCATAAAACGCGCCGGGAGTCGCCCCCTGAAATGATAAGCGCACGAAAAATCGCAGCGTCTGCGCGACATGCATTCCTGCTTCACTTAATTAGCTCCAACCAGCTGTCAATCAGGTCGACTCGTCACGCCAGCAGACCACCGCGGCGAGTTGCGCAGGGGGCCGTGGCCCCCCGCGGATCAAAAGCCGCCGCCGCGGGTGCCTCGCTTCTCCACTGTGCTCGCTGGATGCGTGGCGCAGGCATGCTGCTTAATGGACGACTAGTCTTCGACAATAAGCAATTGAAACACACAGGTTTTATCCGCTGGATGCCTCAAGGCCATTTACGGGGGCGCTGAGGGGTGTGGGGGCGATTAACTGGGGGCCGATATAGGCAGGAGAGCAAGAGTACACGGTAGTGGTTGGAAGCATGCAAGCAGTACCTTCCATGAGTGTGCGCTGACGGCGCAATCTACACGCCTTCGCTAGTGTCGACCTCGGCAGCGAGAGGCAGGAGATGACGAGCACGAGCACCAGCGCTCTCGTCTCATCTTGCAGTTTAACTGTTTTATGTCATAGCGTCGCGGAACGACAAGTGTGCCAAAGGTGGGTTCACCACGGCTAAACACGGTAGGAAAACCGCATAGGGAGTGAAAAGAAGGAAGATGTAACAGAGAGGAGGTAGAACGTGAAGAAGAGGAAGAACGTGTATAAAGACGAAGAAGAAGAAAGATAGAGTAACGAAGAGATAAGGAGGCGGACGCGAAAAGGAGGAAAATGAAGGAGGAGAAGACGGAAAAGGAGAGAAGGACAAGAAGAGGAGGAGAAGGACAAGAAGGAAGATAAGAAGGTGATACGCGCAATGGGGACGGGTGTGTGCGAGCAGCTGATGCGATGGTCGCGCAGCAAGTTTAAAGGACGCAGCCAATCTGTCTGGTGCGCGCAGGGTCACGCCTCGCTATCTCTCTCGTCTCGCGCGCGCAACGCACAACACGCGCCACCACTCGAGGCCGCAGCATAGCCGAAAGGCGTCGCAGCAGTCGACACCTGTGACCTGCACGTCAGGCCCGCCTGTGAGAACAGCACGGTACGTCGTCGCAACATGCGCGCGTGCTCGCCTAGAGCCGAGTTTCAAGCTCGAATTTCTTCGCCAATATCGACACGGAAAGTGGAGAGATTCTGGCGACGCCCGGAGACGCGATTAGTGAGAGAGGGGAGAGAGATAGATAGATAGATAAATAGAAGATAGAGAGGAGAGAGAGAGAGAGAGGAGAGAAGAGAGAGAACCAGAAGGAGCAAGCCGAAAGAGGCGAGAGAGAAGAGAAGATAGATCTAGCGAGAAAGAGAGAGAGGAAGGAGAGATAGATAGATAGATAGAGAGAGAGAGAGAGAGAAAGAGAGAGAGAGAGAGAGAGAAGAGAGGAATAGCGAAGGAGAATAGGAGAGAGTGAAGAGAGATAAAGGGAAAGACTTGAGAGAGAGAAACGAGAGAGAGAAATGCCGAGACAAGACCAAATAGAGAAGTAGAGAGACGACAGAGAAGAGGCGCGCGTACGCACCGCACTTTCTGCGGCCGCCGCTAATTGACGCGGGCTTGATTTCACCGCACGTCGATATACACACACGCCGTCGCTGCAGCGAACTCCTATCGTCGCTCGCGTGCCAGCCCGCCGCGGGGCGTGTTTCAGCCCGCCTGCCTGCCTGCCAGCGCGGCCGCTATAGACGGTGTGTGATATATTGCCAAACGGACAATCTGCGGGGTCTTCGCGCGCCCTATCTGAACGAGCACGGCGCAATACGAAGCGCGCGCAGCGTCATGACTCAGGCTGACACCTTCTTCGTCACTGCGCGGACCGCACGCGGACGCGTTGGAAGAGCAAGCGAAAACGTCGCGAGGCGAATACAGACAAAGGAGCAGACTTTCGCCGCCAGTCTAAACGTGGCATGCGCCGTCGGCATTTGAGCAGCATCGGCGACTCCTGAGGTGCGCCATCTATGTAAAGGGCAACAAAACCTTCTATAACTTGCCTGCTTCTTGAGGTTTTGCCGGCTGGTTTTGCGCGTTAAGAGATTTTTAGCGTACGGTTGCGTTGATGGTCGCGCTGGGCGGCGCGATGGAGAGCGAGAGCAGAGAGAGAGAGAGAGAGAGAGAGAGAGAGAGAGAGAGAGATTGTCGAGTGTTTGTTTGTTTGTCCATTAATGAGCGTTTGTTTGTTTGTTTGTTTGTCCATTAATGAACGTTTGTTTGTTTGTTTGTTTTGTGCATTATGTGTGTTTGTTTGTTTGTTTGTTTGTTTTGTGCATTATGTGTGTTTGTTTGTTTGTTTGTTTGTTTATGCATTAATGTTTGTTTGTTTGTTTGTGCATTAGTGTTTGTTTGTTTGTTTATGCATTAGTGTTTGTTTGTTTGTTTGTGCGTTCGTGTTTGTATGTTGCGGGCTCGCGTGGTATGTTGCTGCCGTTGCTCTTGCTCTTGTTGATGTCGATGAAGCCAACGACCAAGATTGGGCATGCGACGACGATGATGATGATGATGACGATGACGATGATGATGATGATGACGATGGTGGTGATGATGGCGACTGTAATGCTTCTGCTACTGCTACGCTGACGATGTTGATAATTACGTTGATAAAGGGATGGCCGTGACGACGATGATGATAATGATGTTGTTGTTGTTGTTGATGATGATGATGATGTTGCTGCTGCTGATGATGATGATGACGATGACAATGAGACGATCCTGATGGCTATGCTTGCGTATCTATTTACATTTTCGAGTTCCGTGATTCTGTGAGACTTTATTAAGCTCGTCGATCGCACGTTGCTCTTGCATTAACTGGTACCACATCTGCGCGCATATTAACTAGGGCTCAGGGACTCCAACCTCGGCCTCCAGCGCTCGCGTACCAACATCTATTGCGCCCTCCCCTCATTCACGACAAGGCGGTTCGTGTGTACGAGGCGGCGATTTTAAGTGCATGCGCGAATAAATGATGCACGCACTAAACCAGGGAGTTGGAGTTTTAACGGTCGCTTTTCGCGTTAAATGCTCGCCGCGATTGTCGCTAACTTTATTGCTGCGGTTCGTGGGTAGAGAGTGGTTGCACGGCCGTGCTGCAGCAAGATGAACGATGTGAGCGAGAGCGCGGTACGCGGGTCGGCGTCCGCGACAGCGTTTACAACGATTACAGGTTTGGCGCACATAAAATCTATTCGCGGGCGCAGGTTTGCTGCGTATAAAGCAGCGTGTCGCTGCCTCGTGATAGCGCGACACCACACGCTGCAGTGTACGCGACACGTATGCACTCGCAGTACAGCGGCGCGGCGAATACACGCGCACGCACGCACGCACGCACGCATGCACACACAGACACACATACACATACACGCAACCGCGCGCGCACGCACACACATACACATACACACGCAACCGCGCGCGCGCACGCACACACATACACACACACGCAACCGCGCGCGCACGCACACACATACACACACACGCAACCGCGAGCGCACGCAGGCAGCACAATACACACAGCGCGCCGCACCAAGCCGCAGCGCGCGACAGCACACAACATACACACACACGCAACCGCGCGCGCGCACGCAACACACATACACATACCACACACACTGCAGACCGCGCGCGCCACAGACACACAGTCACAAGAGCACACACAGACACGCAAACCGGCGGGCCGCACCGCGAATAGCGAATGCGCACACGCATAACATCAACGACCAGGTAACATAGACTACTCGAACAGACAGGCCCCGCGTAATGTTCATGTCTGCAAGCACGCTGGCTACCACTACGCTGCATGTGCGCCACGAAACAGACGCAATAACGAACGCTCAGGACTGTCTCTAGATATACGCTGATAGACAGAGAGAGAAGAGAGAGAGAGAGAGACGAGAAGAGAGGAGAGAGAGAGAGAGAGAGAGCAGGAGAGAGAGAATAGAGAGAGAGAGAGACAGGGCCAGAAGAGAGGACGAGAGAGAGAGAGAGAGCAGAGAGAGAGAGAGAGAGGGAGAGAGAGGAGAGAGAGCGACAGATCCCTACATAAAGAAGATACGTGTAAATAGTAGTGACACAAGGCTCCAATGTGATGCACTCACACTAACACAACTACAATCCGTGTTGTGTAGAATAGTAGTGTGCACCGCGAATGCACGATTTTACAAACAATGGAGGTAAAATCCAGCCACTAATCAAGCATAGAGAGCAAACACAGAATTTCAATTTGAACTCGCTTTCATGCTAGATAGATAAGGCTATATATATAATATATATATCATATATAATATATAAGTATGTTAGTGTGTGTGTGTGTGGTGTGTGTGTGTTGTGTGTGTGTGTGTGTGTGGTGCTGTGTGTGTGTGGTGTTGTGTGTGTGTGTGGTGTTGGTATTGGATGTGTCGCGGGCAGCGTATGCTGTGTTGTGTGTGTGTGTGTGTGGTTGTGTCGTTGTGTGTGGTGT